TCTGCACTGGCGGGAAGATTACTAACATTTCAAGCTTTTAGCTGCACCTGCTCACACAAAACTGTCAAAAGAAAAAGGAGATTGTCTAACATTGATATATGTGATGCTGCTAAGTATATGGACAGGAAATGTTTGCATGTAAATTGTTTTATATAACAGAATTAAAAGAAATATTTGAGGAATGTTTTTGAAAAACATGATGTACCCTGTCCTTACACATTTCATTTGAGTCTTCAGGGTTTGTTCATCATGCGCGGATAATGCATCTGGAATATCGATATAACAGGGTTGGCTGTGCTGTTTACAATATGAGCCCTTTTCTTATCATGGTAACTGAAGAAGTTTGGGTTAATTAATATTGTTAAATACTCTGATAACCAAGTGTTAAAAAGTGGATTTGTTGTACTCTGCCAGCTGCAATATCTGTCTATATTGGCTAACAGGTCAATAATTTTCTTGTTCGCAGGAAAGAGCACAACACAAGACGTCATTCAAAGTGGTCACACGAAGTCGTGCTGTTGGAAATGCGCCATAAAGGGGATTTCTTTTTGCTACTTTCTGGGTTTTTAAGCTGCTTTCTCATCTTCTGACTCTTGATTATCTTGTTTGATGAATCCTCATGTTTTTCTCTCTTTTTTTTATCTTATTAGCACCGGGGTAATTCAGAATTTTTTGTTCATTTGATAGAGGGCAGAGAATCAGCTTTTTCTTCCTCTTGAGGTATCTCTATCCTTCACCTGCTGTCTGTTTTCCATTTTTTTTTAGCCAGAGGTGGTTTCTGTTTGAAGCGGTTTCCATCTATCATGATGGTTTTTGTCTACTTGTTTAAAAACGGCAGGGGTCCCTCTTCCCAGTTCACTGTATGGCTTTTTATTCCTATCTGACTGTGCTAATGGCTCATATAGGGATGGAAGCCATGCACTGCGCTGGGAGCAAAGCACACTGGGCCACAAACTCGATCTCCACAAGCACAAATGCTCTCAACATTCATTTTCCTCATGTATACTCAAATCAGGCAGCAAATGCACGCACACATTCAGGGGATAGTGAGCATCAAACCTTCTAGAATAATGCACATCAGCTTAAAAAACCCAAAATGTATGCATTTGTTTACATTCATGCAGGCAGTAATTATGCATGTGTTTGCTAGAATAAACACTAAGAGTGGAAATGCCCCCTCCCCTCTCAAGCCTTGTAGTCCCATCAGGCCCCTGCTGCAGCGAGTCAGTCTGAAGCTGTCGACTGTATCAGCTGACAGACGGTTCTCTGAAGTGAAGCACACACATCTGCCTCAACATCCCAACATGTTTGATCCAGATCACAACAGAGATGGATGGAAGTTACACTGATATGGAACGAGATGGATTGATTCAGAACAGAAATGGAAACTCGCTTTCAGGGGAGTGACGCAAGCTTGTCACCAAAGAATTTATTCTGTTATGCTCTTTTCAAGTTGAAACCCCTTTTTTTATTCTGCAACCCCTCAGGGATAAAACAGTCTTCCAGGTGGGAGGCAGTAGAACCTCAGGAGAGCTTTGTCGTGAAGATGATTTTAACCAGTATCATTTTTTGCAGTTACCAGGTTACAGCCTGGTGTCTCTCTGAAGGAGACGTGGAGTAAAAAGAGACACGTTTGTGAAATCATGATCATTTATCCTACAAAGAATGAAATACATATTAACTATATTATCAAAAACAGTGTTTGGTGTAATATGCATATATGCTCTGAAATGAATTATTGGAAAGAAAAACTGACATGGTGGATCTGCTGTCTCCAGGAAGAATCATAACAAAAAGAAACTTATATTGAATCTGTCACATCTTTTATTTGAACGATTTAATTCTGACTTTACTGTCCATAAACATATATCCTCACCAACCAGAGGATTCTTACACTTGGCCAACTGTTCATCATCTATTTACACTTTTAAACATTTTTAGAAGCATACTGAGCTAAAATCTTTACCAAATGTCAGGTACTTTAATTCTTTTTTTGAAAATGTGATTTTATCTTGAAATATTTGCCCAGGCATAAATACATTTACACACAGAATATGATATTATTTGCATTACAGATTGCTCTAAAACTCATATCATTGTAGTAAAATGAATAACACATAGTTTATATTTAAGGGGGCTACATTTTCTACTTTCAAAAGGGAAAGAAAGAAATGTCCAGGTTAATCAGGCAGAGAGCAGTGTCTGTCATATTTGGGGATTGTCTGGATTAAATTATGAAATATCTTCAAGTATTCCTCCAACACTCAAAAATAATAAAAAGGTTACAGATAGAAATTGACTGGTCAGTTTTTTTTTTTCAGAGCTAGTAGTGATTTCAAGTTTTCATTGATGTCAGAATTTTTTATTATGTTTCTAATAATTTTTATTTCATTTTCATTTTTCTCTCAAGAGCAGCAGTAGAAAGAAAATAGAAAAATCTGTCGCCAGGTTTCTTTGGAAGGTGGTAGTTTTGGATGTAACTGAAAATGACTGATTGCTAAAACTATCCAAATTAAGAGCATTTATAATCTTGATTTTTGCTTTGAATATATTACCATAAACTTTCCCTTTAAGACAAACAAAACATTTTATTTTTCTTGTTATTCTAGAGTTAGATCTGATCTCTAAAGTTGAATGCTGAAATGTTTTTAAGAGATTAGAGCTCTGAATCTGAGAGAAAAAAATTCAACATATTTTAATGCCTTAAAGCATTTGTTCTGTTGTCTGACTTTTGTTCATCTGGTGAGAAAAAGTGCACCACAGCATATGCTATTTGTTGTTATTTTTAGCTTCGCTGATTTAAATTAATAATATTGAGGGAAAAAAATCTGATTTTCAGTATTTGACCTGCAAATCATTGCCCCCCAAAAAAGCTGTCCAGCTCTGATCATTGAATGAATGATTAGTACGAGTTAAAATTAGAAATCATTACTTCTCACATATAAAACTAAATATTTCTTATAGAATCTGGAGTCTATCAGATCCTATTCAAATAAGCTTTTAATTATTATTTTTTAACTGTTGGTATTGTTTTTCTCAGTAGGTAAATACCTATAAGATAAACCATAAAGCTGACATCAGGTGTTACTTTGCATCTCTGGAGCTGAGCTTATAATTAACGTCTTTATTTAAATGCCTTCAATGTAAAAATTCTCTCGGTCTGCAGAAACCCATCATAAAGCTGTCTCTTTATAGAATTCAATGACTGCTCTCATTATGTCACTGAGGGAAATAAATTGAAGATAACGCTTAAATATAAAGTGAAGGAGGACTCAGTTTAAGCTCTTCAAAGGTCTCCATGCATGGCAAGCTGATCTATTATGTATTATACAGGATCCTCTGAGCAGATATCTATAATTCAGCTTTTCCTTGTCAAAACGAACATTTCAAATATTCTTAAAATGAAGTATGTTGTCAGCAATCTACATTTCAGAGATCTCAGATGTCTATAGGACAAAATAGTATTTTTACCCACAATGAACATCATGGATGTCTCAGGATGGATAGTTTTAACTGTTAGTTTCCAACATAAGAAACTAAAATTGGCAAGATCTGTAAACTATTGTCTTTAGTATCCGAAACAATGCTTTTTTCTTTTTTTTTGTGTGTGAAAATATTAAAAGAGACACAATGTATTTTATATAATAGCTAATTAAATTAACTAATCAAACAAACCTGTCAGCTTTAATAATTGATGCAACATTGAACATTTTACATGTATAAAAATAATCAAGATATGCTGTATGAATTTTCAGGAAAGCTTTTCTAATACTAAACTACTGAGATGAAAATCATGACATGCAAACATTATTACAGATATGTCTAAAATGTGATTTCTGTTTGAAAAGTTTCAAAAGTAGGCGATCCAAATTTAATGTGAGAAAAGAACACACTTTTGCATAAATTAAACTGGAAGCCTCAAACACATCAATCGGAATAATGACATATTTTGTTCCAAGAGAATTCATCTTTAAGACAATTGAAATTTTTATTCCGGAAAAGGAGAAAATAATTTTTGGTGTGTGAAAGGTTGATTATGACCTGAAATAAATGTATTACCTGCATTTGGGTAGCAATGGGTTAAGAGGCAGGGGGGCCACCAGATAGAAATTGTCGGTACAAAACAGCAAAACCAAAACTTTGACAGAATCACTAGCTTCATGCGTCACATGTCATCTTATTTGTTATATTTGAGCTTGTTTATCAAGCCTTATTAAAATATAATATCAGTGATTATGGAAATACGGCAAAGCTTTTTTTTTTTTTTTTTTAATCTCAATATGTTCTACAGCATTCTCTGAGGGAGGGGCCAAGAGTGAACAATAAAAAATTGAAAGGGACAAAATGAAGGTCAAATGAGGAACTCATATTAATATAAATAATAGCAACCAAATAAGCACTTCATCTTAAAGGTTGACAAAAATAAATTCAGATTTCTATTTAATTTAGCTTATTATGTTGCTTGATTTGGCACATTTTGTTTACTGTAATGGTTCTGGATTAAGCAGATTGTTCAGTGCAAGTGTGTGGATAAAATGGTGAGATAAGGAATATTGTGAATACAACATTTTTTTAAATAATAATTTTATGACATAAATTAGATTTTAACATGTGTTTATTTCGATTATTATGATCAGTATTTAATTTTGAGTTTTGGTTACTCTTTTCATAGAAAAAAATATATTATTGAGAGAATGTTGTGATTATATACAACAATAGCTTGCCATACACAATTCTCGACTATCTTGTTTCAAACAAGGATCAACGGGGCCTCCTAGTGGTTAAATGAAGTAATACAGCTGTAACAACGAAACTATTTAAAAACGCGTAATATAGATATAAGCAAAAATGCAAGGGTTTATTTAGATCTGTTTACATTGAATAGCTGTATTTTAGAAGAGGAGCGGTGTGTTTTATTTTTTTTTTTCTTTACATTTATTTTAAGACGCGGGGGAAAAAAATGACGACAGCGGAAGTGATGTCAAAACCCAGCCCCCAAAACAAGAACCAGGGTTGAGTTCTGATGTTATGAAAACTCCTCAATGAAATGTTGAGCAACTGTCTGCTTGTTCAGCGTTACATAAGACCATGTGGAGAAGCTAGCCTCAGCTGCTGGACCAGGTGCCCCCATAAGAATCCAGGAAGTGATTTGGACTGAGAAAAGCCTCCAGACAGCATGGCCAAGCGGAGACAGTGTGCAGAGACGAAGGCGAATACAAAGAAGCCAAAGCAGCTGCTAAGTGCAGAAAGCAGAGGAGCAAAGACGAGAAGCAAGCAGAAAGATCCAGGTCAGGGATGCAGATCTAGATGGGACTTTATCATTATATTATCTTCATGCTATCCGCTGGTATGGTTTCTATCTGCAAACTTTCAGCAGAAGATTGATAAATATAGGTTAGATTTGCTTTTTAAATTACTTTAGGATGAACATTTACATTATTTATTGAAGGAGTAAATATAAAAACAATTTAGAACAATATAGAAACCTCTTATGTTGCTGTGATTGTTTTCATAAATAATGTAAATCTCCTTAAAGGTTGATAATAACCTTCAAATTTCTGTGAAATTTAGCTTAATGTGCTGCTTGATTTTGCACGTTTGTTTACTTTCCTGCTGTTGGATGAAGCAGACAGTTCAGTGCAGGTGCACGGCGGAGTGGTGAGCATGGTTAGTGGAGTGGATCTGCTGGCCTACATGCACATCTGTGCTGCACTTCATCAAAACAGAATGCAGCACTTTGCATCAATGGGAAACATCAGTGTTTTACTCTTTTTATCCCCCATTATTAAAATTCACTGAAAATTGGCTCCTAAGGTTTAACACCTACAAAAATAGCCAGATGTTCACCTGCTCTATTATTTTAAGGTTTGTCAGGACTATTTTCATCCTTTCTTTAAATTCCCCCCCAAAATATCTAAAGATTTAATTGCATAGATTTGAACTTGAACTATAATTGTAAGAATGTTTGACTTCATAATTCCTCATAAAGGGTTTGTTCTTGGTTTAGAAAGCGAATCTGCAGAAAAAGAGGAGAAGCTTGAGAGGAAAGTTAAACCTAAATCACGTTTGTCCTCAAAACGTTCAGCCGGGAAAAAGCCATCTTCCACCAACGACGCCAGCGCTGATGGCAAAACCAGTAAGTACTTCCAGTCTCCGCTCAAGGAGGAGGTTAACAGTGAAGATGACTTTGACATGGACACCACTGCACCACCTGCAGCTAAGGTTAAGGAGAGCATCAAGAAGCCAGAGGAAGAAGAAAAACAGGAAGAGGATGATGATGATAGCGAGGATGAAGATGATTGGGAGGAAGTGGAAGGCAAGTGTGTGAAATCAGATTTCTAGTGTCAGCCGATGTCTTCGGTAGAACCAACGTCATGTGTGTTTTCTGTGTGTGGATCAGAGCTGGATGAGCCGCTGGGTCCAGTTGAACCACCAGAGCCAATCCTGCCTTCTCAGCCCGTAGAGATCGAGATCGAAACCGCAGAAGTCAGGAAGCAGTGAGTAAATATGTTCAGGAAGGGTGAAAATATTTCTATTTTATGAGCTTGGAGTCCAGCTTTTTCTCTCTGTGTTTCTACTAGGAAGAAGAGGAAGGCAGAGTTTGAGACGTACCTCAGACGGATGATGAAGAGGTATAAGAAGGACCTGCTGATAGACACACACAAGGTGAAAACAAGATCTCCATCTTTTCTTCTTTGGTTGGATCAGTGTTTGCTGACCTTCACCAACCTCTGATTGGTGTTTCAGGTCCACCTCCTGTGCCTTTTAGCCAACGGGATGTTCCGCAACAGGCTGTGCAGCGAGCCGGACCTGCTGGCTGTGGCGCTCTCTCTGCTGCCCCCACATTTCTGTAAAGTGGCCAAAGAACGTATCGACCACAACTACCTCTGTGGGCTCCTCAAATGGTTTGCGAATGTTCCCAATATGTTGACGGACATGGACAGGGACGTCATTAGAAGGAAAAATTCATCTTCTGCCGTCTTTTCCCTTTTAGGTTTAGAGCGACATTCACCCTCAACCCCAGTCTTCCCACAGAGGAGCGTCCAGACCCTCAGGCCCTACTGGAGAGGCGACTGGGAAGCCTCTCAGCCAGAGACCACCAGGAGATGACTCATGTTGGTCTTTTTTAAATCCCTCTCTGGAGGAAGCATTTCACCTCAAGCAAAGGAAGGCATAATAAATTAGAAAAGTAATCACATCTGCATGTGTTTTGTTTTTCCTGCAGCTTTTCCTGTTGTTCCTAAGGTCTCTGCAGCTCTTCTGCCGACTGGTTCTCTCTTTGCACCCAGTTCCTTTCAAGCCTCCACCTGCAAAGGTACAAAAAATCTTTACACTACTTTTACGCTGAACTGATAAATAAATAATAAAAGATCAAGGAATGCAGAAAAATCATTATGCTTATTCAAAGGAAATAAATGTGAGCTTTAAGATGAGCTGCTGGAGATAATTATTAATAAAGTCAAAGGCTGGGAACTGTTACTCTTTAATTCAAAACATACCTGGAGAGAAAACAACAGACCTGTTTTCACTACGCTGTTTTAGAGGTTTTTTTTATGTTCAAGCAAATAGGGGCTTTGTTTTCATCCAAACATATTGATCTGCCACTACCAGGTATGCTGTGCTGCATGTTCCTCTAAAAAGTTTAAGCTACTTCTGAGAAAAAAATCTGGAAAGTATAGAACATATGCTTTAAGTTCAAATATTGTTTTTTTTTTTTGTTTTTTTTTTCTAAAAGCAGAAATAAATCTTTGTGTGATGCATTTTAACCTGTATTATCTACTTTAGTTTAAGGCTTTCTCTGTGTAGCATGTTAGAGAAAAATAATACAATTCTATGGAGGGATGAGGCACTCTTATGGAAGCTAAGGTTTACCAGCAGATTTTCACATGCAACAGGAAAAAATAAGATCATATTTTTCATGAGCAGAAATGTTAGCATGGACGTATTCAGCTGTGGTGAAGCTGAATCTCCATTCACGGCTGCTGTTTTATTTACTAGCTTACATTAAGCCTTGCAGCACTACTAGCTGCTAATGGAAGCCAGAAGAGCAGCACTGACTGAATACCATCACCTGCACCTCCCCATGTCCCTTGGCTGGTATTTTAATAGCTGATACTGCATTAGTTCTTAGACACAATCTGTCCATATAGGTCATTTATATCTGTGTATGAAGGACTTTTAAATGCAATTCAGAATCGGATGCATTAAAATACATTTAAAAAATAACTTTTACTCATCTTTGATTATGAAGTAAGTTCATCGTTGAGCTAAGATAAACTGAAACGTCAATGATCCACTGGGTTGTTTATAGGGTTTTTTATGATAAATATGACTTTTCCACCATTTCTGCAGAAAATGTAGTTTCCTTGACATTTTTACTGGCATAGATTCATTGATGGGTGCTTAAGGGCCACTGTAATAAAGACCCCTGCAGCCCTGAGTTGCGTATTTTCAGTAATACATTTGGTCAAAACTCTAAATCTAGATCCAAGGGTGTTAAACTTGTAGGAATCCGCTAAAGCATTTGTGGTGATGAGTTTTCCCTGTGGAGTAGTTGTAGCTCTCTCTTCTTTGCTTAATTTCTTTGCAGTGGAAGGTCCTCCAGCATTTATAACCTTCTTCAGGATAAGCCTGAGCATCCTTTAAATTTAAGCCATAACTTCAACTAGGTCATGCTATATATGCTAGTACTGTATCCTTACAGCCGGAAGGTTCTGGGTTTGAATCCTGGCCTGGATTATTTCTTCATAAGGCTTCCTTCCACCATCCAAAGCTGACTGGCACAGGAGATATAACCTGATATCTACTTATACCGTCCTTCTGAAATTGTCTTTAAATTCATGTTTAATCAGTTTGTTTTTTTTTATATACAAATAAAGCTCATTCCGACCCAATCTAATACCCTTTTTTATTTCTCATAAAGGTACACACAGAAATTTAACATATGTGTCCAATGTGATTGTAGCGTTAGCAGCATTAGCGGTTTGCAATGTTTCATTAACGATAGCGTTCAGGTCTCTTACGCAATAGATAAAAGGTTCCAGACTGTCTCCAGGCGAGTCCCTGGTTGTTAGATAGAACTTGAAGTGGGGATAGCAGGTTAGGTAATGTTAGCACCCTGACATCAATGAAGGAATAGGAGCAGAATCATGCTCTGTGATGACCTGACAACAACAAACATTTAAACAGGAAAAAAATATAGGATTTCTGGGTGATGTCTCCTTTATTTCATTGTAAATCCAGCCTCTAACTCAGAGGCCTGTAGAGCTTTAGATGTCGCTCTGTGTTCCCATATGCGATCTACTCAACATATTGTTTATTCACACTATGAGTAATTTAGGTAGACCATCCAACAAAGAAGGTTTGCCACTGTTCCATGTTTTCTCCAATTTTTAGCTTCTCACTGGAGTCCTTAAACCCTAAAGATTAGCTGTCACTTACTTTGCTTTTCATCCGTTCTTCAATTTCACAAGATTAGGTCATGATGTGTAGCATTTTTTAAAACTTTTACTTTATTTTATTTTGTAATTCATAATTCTACAAAGCTGGCAATATAATTTGCCGACTAAATTCTGTAATGTGATATTAAAACTAGCTTGACTAGAAAATATTTAGACAATTTCAATTTAATTTCAGTTAAATTTATGTATATAGCGCCAATTCGAAACACATGTCATCTCAAGGCACTTTACAGTTCACCAGATCATCCAGTCAAATTGATTCAAAGTTTTTCTATCTAAGGAAAACCAGTTGATTGCATCGACTCATTGACTCAATGACTAAATCAGGAAAGAGAAACCCTTGAACATTGAAAATTATGCATTGACTAATTATCTTTATTTTCCAGTCCAAAGGGACTAGAGCGTCGACTAGTGCCCCTGGAGGAGGCCAGACAAGCCAGGAAAGCTCCAAGACAAACTCTCCTGAGACGAAGGTCTCCCCTGGAACCAAGAGACCGGCTGGAGGTGGGAAGGTCAAAGGAAGCAGCGGAGGCAAGAAAGCAAAGAGGACAGAAATGAAGCAGGAGGAAGAGGAGAGGCCTGTGTTATCTGGAGGGCAGAGACCGAAAAATTCAAAACGCCGCAGCATTGCTTCAAAGGTCAGCTACAAAGAGGAGAGCAACAGCGAGGGGGGTGAGGAAGAGGAGATCAGTGATGCTGAGGAATTTCAGGAAACCAGCGAGGATGACAGCGAAGATTTTGAAACAACGTTTAGACCTGCTAAAAGAAAAACAGGCAATGGAAAGAGCGCCACTAAGAAAACAAAAACCCCAAAGAGAAATAGCAGCGGTGGGAAACGGCAGGTGAAAGAGGAGGACAGTGAGCTGGAGGACGGGGAAGAGGAAAATGAAGACGATGGCCCAAAGAGCGACAGAAGAAAAAGACGGAGCGGGCAGAAGAAAGAAGGACCGGGAGCAGATGAGTGGTTAGAGGTTTACCTGGACAAGACATCTTCATGGGTTTGTGTGGATGTGGAACACGGAGTCGGGGCGCCTCAGCTCTGCTCCCAGAACGCCACCGCGCCACTGACCTACGTAGTGGCGGTGGACGGGGACGGCCGTTTAAAAGACCTGGGAAGGAAGTATGACCCCACCTGGATGACGACGTCCCGGAAAAGGCGGGTGGACGACGAATGGTGGGAGGAAACGCTGGAGCCGTTCATGGGACCAGAGGATGAGAGGGACAAGAAGGAGGAGAAGGAGGTATGATGATATGATCCCACCCAAATACATCTTTAGGTTTCAGGTTCTGAAATGTTATTAATAAATAAAGTCATTTACATTTTTGTTTCTTAGTCTTTTAATTGATTACCTTTGTGTCATATATTTTGCATTTGTATAGCATTTGTTTTTGTTTTTATCCTTTTGCCTTCCCTCTCAGCTCCAGAAGAAGCTGCTGAACAAACCTCTGCCAATCTCCATAGCAGAGTATAAGAACCACCCTCTGTATGCCCTAAAGAGACACCTGCTGAAGTATGAAGCCCTCTATCCTCCAACAGCCAGTGTTCTGGGTTACTGCAGAGGAGAGCCAGTTTACTCCAGGTCAGTACTGCCGCTGTCCTCATCCATCTGCTGCACGCGTTAAAAAGCTCTTTACATTTATACCCCAGAGAGCACAGCTGTTCTTACTCACAAAGGGGATATGACTATAAAAAAATCCTAGTAGAATCCAGTTTTCATGAAGTCTTCAGCAGTTTAGAATTAATGAAATGGTGCTTCACCTTCTGTTCTGTGTTGTTTATTGTTATTTTTCTTTATTTGCATCGAAAAATCACACGAGATCATTTTTAAACAGGAACTAGCATTTTGATTAAGTTTCTACTATAAAAATTGATTCGAAAGAAAGAGTTGCATCAGTACCCACTTGGTGGCGCTGCTCCGCCCTCCATTGTCACCCTATATCATTATAAAGAGGATAGTCTATTAGATCATATTTATATATGTTGGATATATTTAAAGAAAGCTTTAGTTTTAAACATTTTGAGAAAATGTGATGCAAAAGCGAAAAAAACCACAAACAAAACAAGAGCATCATAATAAAAACAAGAATAGAGTTAACAAATTTTATTAAATTATTATTTTTTAAATTAAGGCCTTAATTGGCTTTAAAATTCATTAAATGTGATTATCCTGGCATTTAAATGCTTTATTTAAAAAAAAGAGTTTATAAAAACAATGTCATGAGATATATTATATCAGATATAACTGCTTCCAAAAAGCTTCGGAAAGAAGCTCGAGGCAGAGAAAAAGCTAGAGAACGGGAAAATGCTAATTTCAACAAAAGTAGCTGGAAAACAAGGAATTCGGGACATGGCTGCAGCCTGTCGATGGTAAAGATGACAAAGGATTTTGCTGTGTTTTGTATATATATATATATATATATATATGAGTCATAGGTACTTGTTGATGGCATTAAAATTATTTATAAGAGCATTAAAAAGCACAAAATTAGACTTTTTTCATTTCTGCATAAACCCTAATTATTGTAACAAACAGAAGCGGATCTCCCGTTAACTTCATCCATTTAGAGAAGCCAATTAACCTAACCGTCATGTTTTTGGACTGTGGGAGGAAGCCGAAGTACCCGGAGTAAACCAACACATGCTCAGTGAGAACATGCAGAAAGACCTTAGGCCAGGAATTGAACCCAGAACCTTCCTGCTGCCAGGCAGCAGTGCTACTCACTAAGCCACTGAGCAGCCCATGTTGGCAAATCAATTCCTATAAAAATAAATAAAGTGAGAGAAAAATCCACCAAAATACAGTGAGGTTTACAGACTAGACAGTAAATGGAAATCTTGTGTTTATTTGAGAATATTGAGACTATTTTAGCTCCATATGAGGATCATCAGAAACAGCTCAGAAAGAAGCAATGCTTGACACTGTCATAACCTGGAAACTCCTGAAACATCCCTGGCTACAGTAGAGCTAGTGGTTTTCTTATTGCAATGGATTGAGGTCTTGCTTTGAATTTGAAGCTTATCTCATGAATGCTTTTCCGGGGGGAAAAGGTTTTATCAGGCACCTTAAGCATGGCAGTGGAAGTATCATGTAGTGGGGCTGTCATGCTTCCATCGTTATGGGTATATTACATATTTTAACTTCACATCAAATCACCAGCTAGATTTTTTTCAACTTGGATAAAACAGCACAATGAAACAAAAAAATGCGGATGTGCTTAGTTAGTAGATGAAGCAGGCTAGCATTATCTTCTGGAATAGCCATCTACAAATATTTCTAAAAGGTGGGTCCTAGGAAGAGTGTTAAAATATTGGGTCAGAACACTAATAGATTTTACCAATAGAAATTATGTCAAGGTATGTGCTGCTCATAAAACAATTGAATCAGTTTGGTTTAAAATAATTTATAACCTAAAAAGGTGTCTGAAATAGATTAATAATACTCGTCCAAATTGTTTGTTTTTTGTGTTAATGACTGGATGTAACCTTCTGAGCTTCATCAGACAGATGTTGAAATTGTCATGAGATGATTTTGTTACTACATGTCAGTGAATTGTGTTACTAATATTGTCGGTCATATGAGGAGTAAAGTTTAAAGGAATGGAACAAAAGTTGATATATAATTTGATTGATTGATTGATATTTTTTTCTTTTCTTTGATAGAGACTGTGTGCACACCCTCCACTCCAGAGAAACATGGCTGAAGGAAGCTAGAACTGTTCGACTCGGAGAGGAGCCGTATAAGGTGACCCCTAACTTTGAGGAGCCCTGAAAATGAAACATGCTCCTACGTTTGTGTTTTGAATATGTCCAATCAATGTCATAATCCAGATAGTTTCACTTCGCTATATTATTCTCTCCTTATCAGATGGTGAAGGGCTTCTCCAACCGTTCCAGAAAGGCCAGAATGATGTCTGAGATGAAGGATGAGAACGACCTCCCTCTGTTTGGAGAATGGCAGACTGAAGAATACCAGCCGCCCATAGCTGTGGATGGAAAGGTCGGTGCAGTGTTCTGGTATCATCCAGAGAAACCATGAAATGTTTGAAAGTGTGTATATGCTGACAGAATTTCTGTTTTTAGTGTGTGCATGAAGTGGAATATTTTTGATTTTCTTACAAATCAGCCAAAGTTTCCACTGTAAATATCAGAATGCAAAGAAAGATCCAAAATGAAATGTTATGAAATACAGGTTTTAAACGTAATGTGGCTGTTTGCACTAGGGCTGCAACTTACTATTAATTTGCAAATCGATTCATATGTTGATTATTTTTTCGATTAATCGTCGGATAGCCAAAGATTCCTTAAAGGAGACTTTTTACGAAATTAAACCAGGAGAAATTTTAGATACATTTTTTTATTAATTAATTTTTTACAATCTTGGTATAATTTCTGCTCTAAGTGAGTTTCTCTGTCAGCTAAAAGCATGTTTTAGGGTCTCAATACTCCAGTTAAAGGTTAATTAATTTCAATAATCGATTTATCAAGATTAATCCGATTATTTGTTTCAGTCCTAGTTTGCACGATACAAAATAAAGAGACACTGCAATTAAAATCTGCCAGAAGAAAGCCAATATTATGTCATAAGGCATAGAAACGCAATAGGAATCATTTATAGCTGGTCTTTAAAAAGTTATTCAACCAAAATTGCCAAAGGAATCCTCCATAAAGAAACAGGGCAGATGATAAGAAGCACACCATTCCCATTCTGAGGCACGGAAGTGGAGGACTGGTGGTCTGGAGGTGTGAGATCTACAAAGATGCAGAGAATTAGGTTGAAATAAATGAAACAAGTTTTGAGAAAATAGTGCATGAAAATTTGCTGTCATCAGTTTAACATCTGGGTGCACTCAGTCTCCTCAACTCACTGGAACTGAGCTGCTTTGGTAAACTCTCAAACGTGCATCTCATGAAAGATGGACCCAGAAGAACAGGATGTTTTTCCATCTAAGAGCTAAAAAAAAGCCTCATTCATAGCAACTTGAAGCTGTTAATATGGGGCCAGTACACTGTATAAAGAACCAGAGAAGAAGCTTTTGATTCTTTGGAAATTTTCTGGTTACAAAATAGCAAGCACAGTTGTTATATAACAGATGTTGTCTCCTGACCACTAACCATGTCCAATTAAAACTTTTTTCTATTATTATTTATACTTTTTCACAAATATTCCAAATACCAGAAACTGTGCCAAGAGATGTCTACTTGTTTGCTCAGTTTAACTCTTAAAAGGGTCTGATTTTCTACTCTATAAAGGTCGATACTAGAGTGAAGCATTCAACCTATTATAATCCTGTTTGTTTCCTGTCTGTCCTGTTCAGGTCCCTCGTAATGATTACGGTAACGTATACCTCTTTAAAGCCTGCATGATCCCAGTGGGCTGCGTTCACCTCAGGCTACCCAACCTGCACCGCGTGGCCAGGAAGTTGAACCTGGATGCCGCCCCCGCTGTCACAGGCTTCGACTACCATGGAGGATACTCCCACGCTGTGTAAGGGTTCAAAAGGAGCAGATGCTTTAATGTCACCTCTCACTTGTTATAAAGTAGATGTAAAGATTTGTTTATTGTGTTTTCCTTCCCATGAATTTGATCATTTTTTAACTAAATAAGTTTTCTGTGCGTTTTAGGACTGATGGTTATATTGTGTGCGAAGAGGATGAGGAGGTTCTCCGAGCCGCCTGGGTGGAAGAGCAGGAGATCCAGAGACAGAAAGAAAAAGAGGTGATTATCGTGTTGCCGTTTGTCATTATCACTGAGTTACGGTGACCAGACGTCCCCGATTTCTGGAGACAGGTGGTCCAAAATGGGGACTGTTCCCAGGAATGTCCCCGATTTTACGGTTTTATGAATGAGGTGTTGCCTGTAGACTGTTATTACAGTAGAAAGAGTGTGTGAGCATGCTGCGCACAGAAACAGCTGTTAGCTAGCTGAGTGGCAGCTGTTAACCTATAAAACAGACGAAGAAGAAGCGGTAGTTCTTTATCACAATCAGTCTCAGCTGCCCTGTGTTATAGATGTTGGAGATCAGCCTGTTTTACAGTGTAGTCCTGTTTCTCTGACTGTGACTGGCTGGATGTGCTCTCTTCATCCTCTGACATGGGAGCTGGCTCGGAGCTCGTCTGACTGGCTGTGTGTTTCCTGGACGGGGTCGCCTTTTACAGTCGCTTTTTCTATGTCTGCTTCTGTCTCCTTGAACCCCAGTCGGCCTCGGCAGATGGCCGCTCACACTGAGCCTGGTTCTGCTGGAGGTTTCTTCTTGTTAAAAGGGAGTTTTTCCTCTCCACTGTCGCTACAAGCATGCTTAGTGCGAGGGATTGCATCCGAGTCAATGAGTCGATGCAATCAACTGGTTTTCCATAGATAGAAAACTTTGAATCAAATTGACTGTATGATCTGGTTGAATTGTAAAGTGCCTTGAGATGACGTGTTGTGAATTGGCGCTATAGAAATAAACTAAATTGAAACTGAATTGTTATGGTGAGTGTGTTAATCGCTTCATTTGATTAGGATTGGGCGGAAAATTGTTATAAATGTTTTGTTTATACCGAGGTTAATAAAAAGGGCTTTGATGTGTTTTGTTGAACTAAAGATGAGGACCGGAAATGTAACATAAACCAACCTAATCAACAAAATGTAAGACAGACCATTGGCTGCAGCTGGTATGAGGAAATAGACGCAGATAAGATTAAACAGAATGATTGAAAACTCCTTGTAAGGCGCTTATCTTGTAGTGTCAATAAGGATCAATAAGCATCGCCTAAATATGTTTTTAGAACTGATCGGGGATCTTTAGTTTATATCATCAGGTAGTTTGTTACTTTAGGTGGAGTTATTGGCTGTATTTTTTTTACACTTGATTTTTGTTGTTTAAATATTAATAAATATATAAAAATGGATGAAGGTGTTACCCTGCAACCTCGGATGGCTGAGGGTAAAGTGTGCGATGATCTTCCCTCAGCGTGTGGTGCTGTGGCATGAGAAAGACGAAACACACATGTTGAGCTTCTTTACCTTCAACCGGAAGATTTATCCTTCTTGTGTTTTCTAAACACTTCATGTACAACATACTTCAGTAGAGGATCATTAGCTTCATTACATAAGAAATGGCTGTAATATACCTTTAAACCAAACAATCAACTTTTAACATACTCCATTTAGCATTATGAACTATGTCAAATGACAAAATTAATTTACAACTGGCTTTTCTATCTAAACCATGTGAACTTTGTAGTTAGTGCTTTAAATCCAATGTCCCTTTTTGTATTTTACTATCAAAGTAGAAATTTATATTAAATGGTTTTTAACTATTTTAATAGCTTTTACCATTTTTAATCAGCATAAATAAAATGTATTTTAACATTTAAGCATCTTAGCTTTTAACAATAATATTTTACATCTCACATAAACTCCACTCTCAAAATAAAAACTGAAAAAGACACAATATTCCTTTAATGTGCTTCGCCCTTTAGCTTCACATGTTTTAAATATATGGATATCTGGTTTTTGTAACAAACCAATAAAGAAGCATCAAATAAAATCAAGAAACCGAAATTATTTCCTTTGAGTGTGGAAAACACAGGTTCAGATGAACTCCAGTCCTTCAGCTAGCTCTAGCATACGTGAAGTTAGCTAACATTGGCTCTAATTAGCATTCTGAACACCCCTCTACAAAGGCATCACTGTCTCTGTTTCCTATTTTAATTTTCATTACCGATACATGTATTTATTTTCATCTACGAGCTGGAAATGTCCAGCTATTAGAATGCAGAAATCTTGTCACCTTATTCTACAAAGTCAAAAAAAAACTATCCATTCTTCCATATGAATAAATACTATACTTTCACTACCTATGTTTATGTTAATAAAAAAGAACTGACAGTATTTTTAGGTTGAATTAGAAATATTAAATCACTCAAAAATATGTTTTAACTTGAAATTTCTTTCTTCTGCCTCCCAGAAAAAAGAAAAGAGAGCGATCGCCAGTTGGACCCTCCTAGTGAAGGGTCTCCTGATCAGAGAGAGGCTCAAGCGGCGCTACAACCAGAAGAACCAGGGCCTGGGGAGCCTTGGTGCTGAAGGGGACGCCGAAGGCTTCTCCTCTGATGAGGAGGGCGTTGAAGTGGAACCCTCTGGAGGTAAAACAGCCACTGAGGCTCTGGCGTTGTCCTGGCCCCAAAACAGACAAGCAGAGGAGGACGGAAGTTCAGGAAAACCGAAGAGGAGGACGACGAAGCGAGAGAAGAAGGGCCAAGACAAACATTTGTTTCCCTTTGAGAAAGTTTAATAATAGAAACCAACTGTTTTTCCATATATAGGAAACAAAACTGGAATTCAAGTTTGCCGTCAACAAAGCACTAAACTGAACATTTTTATGATCAGCAACAAAATCTAAAGTTTCTCAGGAGCAGATGCCACAAATTTAAAATGATTTTTAGAAAGACTGAACGGAAAGAGGAGGCAAGAAAAGAGGAAGGTGGCTTTCAGCTGTGAGGCTGTTTGTACATATCTGTTCATTTTACAGTAATCTTGTGTTTAAAGCCAGCAGAAATGATCTCATTAAAAAAAAAGATTGGAATTTGAAAGGAATGTTGGAAAGAAAACATAAAACTCTCCATGCAATGAGTGCAAGCATTAGAGGTCTACTGGATTGTAATGCTTAGGGGAAGCTGTTCTACACTAAACCACACCATCCCCTGTAAAAACCAGATAATCCTGGTTCCTCTGCAGACCTTGCTTCTCACAGATCCAATTTTAACTTTTTAATAACTGCTCGGTAGAGATCGACAAGTTTCAACAAACGTATATTTTCTGGCAGCTCTTTCTTGATTGATGTTGACCAATACACACCTATCCAGTGAAGAGAACTAGGCCTCCATCATATATATCAGAGGGAAACAGGAGGGAATTAACTGCTTAGCTATGGGACTTACAAAATTATAAAACTATGGCAAAGGATTCATTTATTTCAGCTTTTTACGCAATTTTCCCAAAATGGGTAGAAGGCTTATTTGTATATTAATATGCTGAATGGACATTACAGTACCTGAACTGAATTGAATCAGAAAGCATTTAGAATGTGTCGGATGTCCGCATCGTTTCACTGTAAATTATTTCAAATTAAAAAAGAAAAGTCTTCAAGAAGAGCATGTCAATTCAAATTTAAGCTTAATATAAAGACCAGCTGTGTTTACTCAACCCCTGATTGTCACATTCGTCCATTTGAGCTGAAGACAGGAAACTGTAGAGTTGGTTTAGGACTGTTAGCTGATTTTATTTGACAGGAAAGAAGTTGATGATCGAATCACACATTGAGACCTAAATTTCACTGTTTCGTTTCCCTTTGAAGCTGCTTTTCTTGCTTCGGTGCTACATTCATTAAGGTTTTTTTTTTTTTATGTTCATACTGATTTATTTTCTTTTCACATGTCTCTATGTCTTGTATCACTATTTCACAACTTTAATGTTTGCTCTGTTTGTTCACAGGTGATTGTAGCTGTAATAGAAATAGTACTCCGATTTTCTATCAAAAATATTTTTGTAAAAAAAAAATGTTTCATATGATTAAAATGAAAAAAAAAAACAAATGCATGTTGACATTCTTCTCTGTTCCACCTTTTAATAATCAGTTATTACATAAAAATAAAAACTAAGCAACATTTTTTTTATACAAAAAACACCATGATGATGATTATGGTTACCCATACTTTCATTCTCTTGAGAGGCAGCCATCTTTCACTGAATGTGTAGAAAACTTAAACCATACTTTAATTTTTAGTTGCATCACTTTAATAAATAACTAAAAAAGCATTAGTAAGTTGAAATCAAGATTTTCTGAGTAATTTACTGATGAAAAGAGACAAATTGGTAAATAATAAATATATATAATGACCTGAATATGCATTCCACGAATAAATGTGGAAGAGGTATATTAGATACCTTTGTTTATTATTCTCTCACTGATTTAAAACCTTTCTTGATGAGGTTACCATGGAGTTAGAAGGTAGATCCCAGGTTTTCCTTCATTATTAAGAAAGGCTATTGGTGCACAGAGAACTGACAGTATTCTCTGGTGAGCTTTACATCTGACTCATGTATCAAAAATAAATTCATAATGCAACTTGAAAATGTGGGAGAACCGTTCAATCTGTACATTATGATTTAAAACGACTGTGTTTTCCTAACGGGTTCTCACTCCTCTAACTGTTTCGCTCTCATTTTATACAGCTAAACCACAGGAATTCTATGTGCTTTAGCAACAGTGCGAAGTAATGCATGAATCTTAAGACAAAGTAAAATAAATTACACTTTTTTTAGTTTGCAAACTAAGATCTTGAAGATGTGATGTGTACATTAGTATGCAGCCTCTTAAGCTGTAATACCTCTCAAGAGAATCTATTGCAACTATCTGTTTTCAGGGTCTAAGATGTTTTATTGGCCCTCCTGCACTGGACGTCTAACTGAACACATCCTTGTGGTAAAACATCATATTGGCTGCATTGCGACGTGGTGCAGGGACAGGGAATGTGGTCAGAGTTAATGGGAGGATGGATGAAGCAAATTAAGGAGAGTACTGAGAGGAAATAGAGGCTGCAGCAGGCTGGAGAATGACAGAAGATAACTGTCTAAGCAGGAGAACACTCATAAATATATCTAAAAGTCACGCAGCAGAACATAACCATGAGAAGATTAAACGCAAAGACATCACCATCCCATATGTTACTGGAGTCTAAAAACTCAAAAAGATTTTCTCCAAACACAGAATCCTAGTACATTTCAAACCAAACAAGACCTTTAGACAGAGACTAGTGCATCTTAAAAACAAAACCCCCAGACCTAATATAAGTGGAGTGGTTTATGCAGTTCAATGCAGTGAGAAAAGCTTTGATCTTTATATTGGAGAAACCAAACAACCTCTCCACAGACGCATGGCTCAGCACAGAAGAGCGACCTCCTAGGGACAAGACTGCTGTCCACCTGCACCTTAAGGACAGAGGATATTCATTTGAGGACCAGAATGTTCACATTTTAGACAAGAAGGACAAATGGTTTGAAAGCAGTGTGAAGGAAGCAATTTACGTTAAGAGAGAAAAACCAACCTTAAACAGAGGGGGTGGACTCAGGCTCCAGCTCTCAAAATCCTACAACACAGCAATAGAGTTGATTCCTTCCCGATATCATCTCAATCTTCATCTCCATGCAGGTGACCAAAACATCTCGCCTGGTCAGCCAGGCCAACAGAAACCCTAACGACTCCCTTTTTAGAATCAGTATCGAGTTCTGCAGGCCAACATCAACCTCAACGACTCCCCATTACTAAGGAGTGGACCTGTCTTTTGGCTACTCTATAAGCCTGTAACTTAAACGCTACTGCAGACATTTTGAATTGAGAAAGCCTCCTGGATGGTCCAATGTTTTTTTTTTTTTACTTTTTTGGAATAGAAGCATTATGCTGTGTGTAATGCTTTTCCTATTTGGGATGGAGAAAATACTTAGAGCAGATGGAACTGCAGGGTGGTCTTTGAAGAAAACCCATCAAAGGCTGGCGTAGGATCTCAAATCCAGCAGGATAGGGACCGCTACATCGCAGATTTCAAGAAAAACCGGCCTAACCACGCTCCACTGCTCATCAACAGCTCAGCTGTAAAAGGAGTCAGCAGCACCAAATTCCTGGGGATGAACATCACAGACAACCTCACCTGGACTATGAACACCAACTCACTGGTCAAAAGGGCACAGGAGAGCCTGTACTTCCTGCAGAGGATGGGGAGAGCCCACCTGTCCCCACCCATCCTTACTACCTTCTCCAGAAGCACCATAGAGAGCATTCTGACCAGCTGTCTCACTGTGTGGGGTGCAGGCTGCAGTGCCTCAGACTGGAGGAAGGTGAGAAGGGTGGTGAGAACAGCAGAGAAGATCATCGGGGCTTCTCTTTCCTCTATAAAAGATATTTCATTACAGCGCTGCATGTCCCTGGCACTTAACATTATCATTGACCCCTCACACCCCCACTCCCTGCTGCCCTCTGGGAAGAGGCTTCAAAGCATTCCATGCAGGTCCAGCAGATTTAATTCAGACAGTTTCTTCCCTACTGCCATTAGACTGCTGAATGTTGAAAAATCTCTAAATCATGTCACAGATTGCATTAAAATGATAAAACCAAACCAAAGCACTGCATGATTGCACCATATATATTTAGTGCCCTGAACTTCTATATCAATGTGTTTTTTTTGCATTATGTTTTTTTCCTCACATACTGTTTACATTTGATCCCTGCTGCACTTTAAGAAATGGAAATGTAATGAGAGCTTAACAAAACGAAATTTCGCTTTGTATAAACTCTGTATATGCAAAATGGCAATAAAAGTTGTCTAAGTCTGTCTAATTTGAACAGAGGGCTGTTTTTTTGTGTGCTATATGCTATACACAAAACACTGGCAAATGATAGCTAAGGGATCAAATCAACAGCCTGCCTTTTTAAACTTTTCTGTGAAAACTTGTGCTATTAAAACCATAACTGAATAAATAAACAGAAAAATTGTATATATTTATTGAAAATAAAATGTAAACTGCTGCAGCGTTAAGTGCATTAAATCTACCTCCTCAGCAACTCTTGACCAATTACCTCTTCATTTACCTCTGGCACTCAACCCTCTTATTCTCATTTGCAACAAAGATGCACATTAGATGATAATGCATGAAAAATGTAGCACTAACTCCTCTAGTGCCTCCAGTGAGTTATCTTATCTAACTGGAGAGATGCATTAATGTTCACAGTTTCACTTCAACCTATGGAATTTGTGAATTGTACAGTAGGCCTGATTTGGATCTTTCAGATGAGTGATTTATGGGCCATTAGTAGAGCATGAGTATACTTAATAGCATGACATTAGGGTGGTAGGCACTCAGTATGCAACACAATCAATGTACACGCAAAAGCATCTCACATGCTCTGGGGTTTTATAATGTACTTGTTTTTGTTGATGAAACGGCTGTCAGATGTGCAACACAGAGCGTGCTCTTAAAGTAGCAGCAAAAATCCTTCTTCAGTCTTCCATTTGTAAACCAACATGAAATCATCATTAAATAATCATTACATTTTAATATCTTTTAATACAAGCAATTTGGTAAATAAAT